ATTGAAAATGAAAATACTATGCTTAAAGAAAGCAATGACTTATTAAATTTGGAAAATGGAAATTTGATCTCATCTATTGCTAACCTATCTCATGCTAAGATTGATGTCATGTTGGAAGTAGAGAACATAAAGAATGATACAACTTCTTTTATAAATGACTATTTATGTTCTACTTCTAAAAATGCATATGTGCCTTAAAATGAAGATTTGAATCTTATGAAAAATAGTATTTCATCTTTAGATTCAACTTTGAGAACATGCATTAATAATCATAAGAAGCTTATGGATATGTGTGCTAAGTCAAAATCATCCACTCATTATGCACACATATATAGCAAATATGTTTACAATGAATAATATTTTGTTAGAATATTTGTTAAATACTTTTAATTCATCTATGTCTAACAAGTTTGTTCATTTTGATAGTGCTTACAAACTTTGGAAATTTATAGAAGCACATCAAGGGGACTTGGAGGCGATCCAACAAGCTTTGGAGGATCCGACTTCAAGTTCATTGTGGTCGTTTTGGCCATTTGGCAAAATTTTGCTATGATTTGAAAAAGACTTCACTTTTGCCAAATGATTTTAAAAGACCACAAAAGTTTAAATGTGATGTTTGTGGTAGATATGGCCACTTAGGAAAGTTTTGTTTTGATAATGTTTCACATTTGTAAAATAATCTTAAAAGATCATCTATGGTTGTAAATGTTTCCCGTGCACGAGCAAATGATCCACAAAAACAAATGGATCTCTTTCATTGCAATTGGAAGGGTCATTTGAGCGATTATTGCTTTGACCGTGTTAGTGCACCACATGTGCCTAAGAGGGTTCATAGAGCGATTATTGCTTTGACCGTGTTAGTGCACCACATGTGCCTAAGAGGGTTCATAACCCAAGGGCTTTGAGCTTTAATGATAGGGGTCATGTCCCGTGCACCACATGTGCCTAAGAGGGTTCATAACCCAAGGGCTTTGAGCTTTAATGATAGGGGTCATGTCCCCAAATCTTTTGGTACTAAGAGTTCTTGGGTACCAAATAAATTTGATTTTAAACCAAGAATTTTAGTATTTTTATTTTTTCTTTGTCTTGGTTTTGAAAATTATGCTTTAAAATCTTTTTATATGAAAACAATTTATAATTGATAAAATCTTTTGTTTTCATGATTATTTGTTTTGTTTTGATGAGAGGTTTGTACTTATATAACCCTCCGGATTTATTGAGTGTTTATTCCCAAATCATGTTTACCGGATGCTAAAATGTTCATATGGGTTGATACTAGCTCAAGAGCAAGATAGAGTTGCCTCTCTTGATTTTTGAAAATCAATGATGATTTGGTTTTATGATTTAAACTTTGATTTATGATTTCAATTGGTTGATTTGTTTTCATTTGAAAACTTTTTACATGATTCTCATGTTTCTCTTCTTTTGATTTCATAAATCTATTTTATACATTGGCTTTTATGATATGAGACAATATGTTCATCTTGATATATTTATATATGTTCTCATTATCTCTTGAATGTGAGTGATTTTTGGCATATTATTTATGCTTGCTCACATGTTTGCTATGATCTTTTATTGCTTATATTTCATATGGCTTTTTGATAGGGGGAGCTATTCCCTATATTTGCTTTGTACTCACCAATGCTTATTGATAGGGGGAGCTTTCGCTCTCTTCATACATTTGTCCCCTTTTTGATGTTGTCAAAGGGGAAGAAATATTGTGAGTATATTCTTTCTTGTTTATATGCATGTGAATTATAAATTATATATTCATTTACTTCATGCATATACTTCTTTTTGTAAATTGTTTGTCATCATCAAAAAGGGGGAGATTGTTGGCCTTCTTGTTTTGATGATGTTTAACAAACAATTTACCACTAATGTTGTTTGTCTAGTATTTGTGTTTTCTTATTTATTATAGACAAACAACGTGGTTGGAGGATGGATGGATTGCGCCATAACGATCATATCAAATGGAGGTTAGCGGAATTGTGGAGTGAAGCAACGTACAATTCAAGTTAAAGATCAAGTTCAAGCTTCATCCGCATGTGTACCAAGTCGAGCTTAATGAAGATCAAGATCTAGCTTGGGTAATTTAGTTTAGGATTTATATTATGTGTGTTAAGTACGTTAAGCTCAATATCTATACACACACATTTATTGGTTTCTTCGTATATATATATATAGTTATATATATATACATAAGTTTTGGTTTCTATGCATATATATAGTTATATATATACATACATATGTTTTGAGTTTTTATGGTTATATATATGAAATTCTATATTTCATATTTTCTATTATGTTTTTGAAAACATTGCATAGAATATGCAATTTTGTGAAAATATTGTTTTCTTAGTTTTTGGACTTAACAATAATCATATACATATTTTATTAAGTCTACAAAATCATTGTACAAAGTTTCAAAACATGGTTTAGCCTAAATGTCAAAATTCATATGTTTACATTTTCGTGTTTTGGACTATTTTGCAAAATAATGATATTTTTCATTTGGGAAGTCCTTTTGGAAACCAGTCATTGTAGCATGTTTATTATCATGTCTAGCAATCATTCTCCAAAGTTTTACATTTTTTAGAATTTATTTGATATTTTTAAACAGTGTTTTAAAATCAGAAAAACAGTTTTTCATGTATCAGTTTTCGCGTCGACCGATCGGTCGACCGCTCATATGTTCAGCCGGCAGTAGGCAGCAGAGAGTTTGTCGGTTGACGCACGTGGGACTCGACCGAGTGATCTCGCATCGCGCACGGCCAGAATTTCCGGTCGACCGCCGCTCCGCCATTGACCGCTTGCTTTCTCAACGGGCTATTTTCTAAGCCGATTTTTTTTCTGGACTCTTTTGACTTTTACTTAGGCGGTTTTGACTGAGATTTAGAGTGGGTATAAATACCCTATTGCTGCTCTCTTTCAAGTTAATAAAAGAAGTTTTTAAACAAGGTTTTAAACAAGGGTTTAAGCTTGTTTAGTTTTGGTTTAAGTTTGTTTTGGGTTTGCTGTTACAAAGAGGTGTTTACATCAACTATTAAAGAGTTCATCTTCAACATCTCATCATCCTCTCTTTGTGTTTATAGAGAAGTTTTCCTAAACTCAACTCTAGCTTTTATTTATAATTATTTGTTAATTATCATTTCTATTAAAGCTAGTTTTATATTAAGTTTAGATTTGATTTTATCTCATTGTTACACACACCCACATGAGCTTATTGTATTTGCATACATAGTATATTAGGGTTGTGAGAGTTTGTAACATTGAGTGTGAGCTTTCATTGTGTTCTCATCCATAGTTGAGAACAATCAATTATTGTAATTGTGCTTATCGTGAGATACACTTTGTAATACACTTGTACACCGAGAGAAGTGTGTGGCGAGAGTCGGGGATCGTCCCAAGAGGAGTGGCGTCGGTTGACGAACCTAGGGAAAGGTTGTAACCGAGCACTTGAGGGAGACACGTCTAGTTCAACACTTAGTGGGTGTAGAGTGGGATTACAACAGTGTGTTGTGAAGTTTTCGGTGAACTAGAAAACCGATTGTGAGGAGTGACGTAGTTCGGTGAGCGTTGAAAACCGACACTGTGAGGTGTAAACGTTATTCGGGTGAACGTAGAAAACCCGGTTGTGATTGTGTATTTCTCCCCGGGAGTGGGGAGCGGAGACGTAGGACGGAAGGTCCGAACTCCGTGATCATATCTTGTGTTTGAGTGTGCTTTGGCGTTTATTTATACTTGTGTTTATATTTCTTGTCGTCATTGTCATTAGCTCATTATTTATATAATCCACTATCTAGCTCATATAGTTTACCCCTTGTGTTAGTTTATATATCCTTGCATATATATATTCATCATATAGGATGTATCTCATTGTTCATATTGCTTATCCTAGCTTACATAGTTATTATACTTCATACTTGCTAGGATAACCTATTAATTTTTTTATTGGCATATAATCGGATTAGATTAGCATAAGACCCTAATCACCCCACCTCTAGGGTCTAACATTCAAAAGGCATTCAATTTCAAATGTTCTTTATTTGCTTTAGGGTTGGTTATATGATAACTCATCAATGATATTTCCAGTATCGGCACACATCACCAATAGGCGTGAGGTGTTCCAACGGCCGCCCATTGAATTAGAATGTAAAGTGAGATTCTAAATAACCAGTTCATCCTCTGCGGTAAAGTACCAAGGACTCTAATCTATTCTCCTGCCTAATCTGTCGAAAAAGGCTATCACACTAGGCGATGAGCTCAACATGGATTTACTTAATCAAGTACCCCACTCGGCTTCACGAAACATTATGAGGTCCATCAGCATATGATTCCACAATATCATGAAGCCTGCAAACTCTGAAAAGAAATTGTAGATGCTCACACCGTAACCAATTTTCACCTTTCGAGGCTTCGAACAGATTCAACTGACGGTGATCGTGATAACAAAGAACAATAATTGACATAAAAGTTATCAATACCGAGGGCCCATAAAGAACATAAACCATGCCACTTCCGAGAACACAGGTTTCAGGCTCAAGAGAACATACGATTCCATTAGAACTTGCATGTTTAAAAGATGTTTGATGTCCAAAAGTGTCCACACTATTTCCTCCCCCAAATAATTGGAGTACATTTAGAGAGCCACATTAATCCACCTTAGTCATGTTACAGAACAAAACTATGCTATACATTTTTTTCATAATCGCCATCAAGCTACACCTCTCGCCACCTGCTAAAAAAATGAGGGACAAGGAATTGAGTCGAAAGAAATTATGGAACTAAGAAAAAGGAAATTCTTTATACAACAGTTGAGCTTAAGACTGCATACCTCATAAACCATAAGCAAACAAGTCCTGGTTCCCTAAAGAGTCTAACATAGCCTCCGCAATGATAACTCTGCCAGGAGCTGAAGACATTAATCAGCAGTAGAAATCAATTTGGTCAGACAAATCATGTTCCAGCAAGCAAAACAAGCAGAAAGCACAAACTACAAAAAGAATAATGTTATATAACTGTTCAACTATTCCGTTATGCGTACAATTAGCAACCGTATGGATACAATTTGCAAAGTAAAGGAAGCTTTCTTGGATATCTCCAACAGTATAATTCTCTCAGCTAGTTTATGCACACTAATTCCCCGCCAAAATTTTTGCACTCACTGCAATGTCAGCCTCTTCCAGATGCTTACAAGTTTGAATGGTTGATGATCGTTAAGTCGCGAGAGTTCCACCACACAAGTCACTCTTCTGTAGCCACAATTTCGTTAAGCAGATCCAAAAAAAGGGATCATCAAAACTTTATTTTCCTCGAGAAAAGAATTTTTTTTAACTCGTGAAATTGGTGATGTAGCATTCAATTTGTGAATGCATCAATCTCGCAGTTTTTGGTACAAGGATAACTATCTGAGCTAAGACCAGTGCTTGACCCTATCTAGGAGGGAACCGACCAGGATTTGATATCTTTGGCCTATCATTCCCAAATCGTCTAAGTTCAGGTGGGCCCCAACCGAGGATCCCTGCTGAGTTGTCTGGTTCAGGCAACCGGGTCCCGTTGCCAACTGGTGCCTGTGGATAAGGCAGATGCTTCTGGAATTGGTTACCTGTACCTTGTCTTCTTCGGCGTTTCCATGCTTCTGAAGATTAAAAAGAAAATTCATGAGATCTTTGTTTACTTTGGAAATTGTTGTTGAGAAAGAATAGTATGAAGTGGTATTATTGTTGTCCCTGGGAGTCTCACCTGGGCCAGAACTATTAAAATGGGAAGGACCAACTCCACCTCCACCTTTTTCACCTGGGCCAGAACTATTAAAATGGGAAGGACCAACTCCACCTCCACCTTTTTCCTCTCTGAGTTTTGAATATATCTCATAAAGCCTTTCCCCCGTCAAATTAGAAAATGTTGACACGTAATTCCATAATCTCATTGTCATTCCTATAAAGTACATATAATCAATCAAATGTTAAAAGAAACCACCATCTATGGTTAACATTCCATGTGCCATTAACTTTATTTATGAACAAACAACAAGCTAGAATTGTTGACAATTTACACTTGTAGGTAGTACTTGTCTCATATTTCTCTCTTGCCTAACGAAGTATCACAAGAATGGAAAACTTACTGGACTGTTTAAATTGATTGCATGATGCCTCATGTTGTTGAACTATGTCATCTATCTTTTTCCCAAGTTGCTGCAGATATTTACGAATTCTAGCAAGTACCTGAAAAACGTGCCTATCAAATGAAATCTCTGTGCTAAAACTGTAACTATAAGCAAGGATGAAATAAGAACCTACCTTTTCTTTCGGAAGCTCTAAACTGGTAGTTTGCAACCTTTCTAGTCGTGTCAGTGTCATCTGTTCCTCCTCCATGACATCTGCACACCATTCCATCCACTTTTCTTCCTTGTATTGCTCATAGTTTTCTTGCTCGGATTCGGATATTTCACCTTCCTCTTTGACACGAGGCTCCACACACTGATGTTTCTGAAGGGACTCTTTCTTTATCCGAGAATTCAATTTCACATCTTTTGATCGACCGTTTGATACTGCCAATTTTTCTGCTTCAACATTCACATTTTTACGAGATCCTTTACCTTTCGTGAGTTTGCCATTGACATTTGCAAACTCCTGTACATATACAAAATAATGGATGAAAATTTATTACTGCAGCCACTTGACCAAGAAAATAAGATCATATGTGCTACCCAACCTACGATTCTACACATAATAGTACAAATTACATGGTACACAAGGTACCATACCAGAACCAGAAGAAAATTTATAAGAAAAACCAAGTAGAATATTTCTTGAATATGTCCGTTTTTCACAGGAAGTTCATATGCTTAAGACAATTTAGTACTCACATCGGAAACATCAAATTCCTGATGAACATCAACAAGTTACTATCCATTATAGAGCAACCCCTGCCATGTAACTGAAGTAGTGGTTGTCAATTTGCTTCTCATATTTGATAGCAATATTGTCATTATTATAAGATTGAATGAGCTTCTCAACAAGAATTTGAGAGTATTTGGGAGGGCTTTTTTTTGTCAAAGTAGCTTATAAGCTAGCTTATTCGTATCTACGTGTTTGGTGACATCTCCAATAAGCGAGCTTTTAAGCCACATTTAAAAAAGTTGGGGTTCCCCATCTTTTAAATAACTAACTTGTAAGTTCATCTAAATAAGCTGGGCTTGACCAAGTAAATGACAACTGCAACAGAAATTACCTTCTAGTCTTCTACAAATTGCAACTTCAGCTGCAGTATAATATTCCCAAACTGAACAGTAGCAACCCCAATTCCAAAGATGATCATAAACCCACTCAATAGCTCTTACAAATTGCAACTTCAGTAGCAGTTAAATTTTCCCCAAACAAAACTAGAAGCAATCCCAAATCCAAAAATAATCATAAACCAACTCAATAGCACATCAAAGTATGCTGAGACACAAAGTATGAATAGACTACGAAAAACAAACAAAAAAAATGAAGATGATACACCAGCTTTGCATTAGAATTAACGGTGTGGAAATTTTCATAGAGACTATGCAAGAGAAACAGAACAAAATTCACGCAGAAATATCGAAGAACGCATATTTTGCATAACAATGGAAAGTGTAGGAACAATGAACACTTAGCATTAAAAAAAACTTTTTTTTACCTTCTGCAACAAAGCACTAGCACGATTATCTAAGTTTGGAGCACGAGGCAAGAATGTCTCCCGATCCCCAAGAGTCACAGGGGCAATCTTCCTTGCAAGACCAAGCCTAGGGTCCAATCTTATCTTTTCCCAATTTCCAAATCCATGATAATGTATTCCCAGAAGCAACCTCGCATCGTCAACTGATGATATTTTCAGCAGAAGCATGATAATATATCAGAATATAGAAGAAAGGAAATTAACACAAATGTTTGAGAATAAAATTTAACCTTGATTCCAGCCACAACTCTTAGACCACTGTGGACTCTTATGTTGAGTGGTCAATCTAAACTGGGAAACAGGATCTTCGTAGCGTTTAATGCGTTTTGCTAACATTTGAAGCTCTTCTACACGATTTAGGATTTCATATGCTTTTACAGGTACTCCAAAGAAATCCAACAGAGTTCCCTACAAAAAGGAGGATAACTGAACTCAGATAAATGGAGTCCTATAATCACAGACATCACCTAAATTCTAGCAAACAACTAATAATAAACGACATAATGAAATATATAGCACACCTTGAAATCCATATTTCCCTCTCTAACTGCTTCTCGACAGCCATCAATCAACATATCAAATAGCTCAGTTTGCGCTTCATGAGGAGCAGTTTCAATTACACCACCAACCTCAGCCACTATTAAACTAATCTGGCTCTGGTTCCCAAACCTCTTGACCTATACTCCAAAGCAAGAATGTGAATTAATGCTCATTTCCATTAGAAAGTACGGATGAACTAAACGAAAACATCCAGTCTCCAAAACCATTTTGGTCTTGGCCAAACAAAATTGATAAATTGCTAACCATCAGTAAACGTGGATTTCAATCTGCCATATCATGGTAACTCATCAGTGTTGAATTTTTTATGCAAGCGTAGCCTTGTACATTTTATTAATAATAAAGAATATAAATGAAATTTTGCATCCAGATTAAGGAACCAAATGCAAGATAAATCAAATGCTTTGCGGACAATAACAAGATGTGCATTTCTAAGTAGTTTTCTGAAGTTGTAACATTACGTAAAATGCAAGTACTCCCCCACTTCAATTGTTGCAAAAACTCATGGCAAAACACCATCAATGTAATAACAACAATCAAGATAAGCAACTCGTTGGATTGCCCTTCCAGAATAAGCTGAAACTCTCCCAGATAGATTATGTGGAATCTATGATGGAATGATGCCCAATATCAATTGATATGGGAAAGAAAAATCTGTAACAAGTTAAATTTCTTCATAAAATCTAGCTTAATATTTAGAACCATTCATTTTCTAAACGATGACTTTGCATGGAAATTCAACATGTTCAACAGATCCTTTACTTATAATATTTATATTAACTGCAAAGTACAATGAACATGTACTGAGGTAAACAATACTTACTGCTCGAACAAAATGAGAAGCATCTTTCTTTGTTAAATTTCCAAAGGACCAGCCCCTAACTTGAGCAAATGCCCCCTCAATCATGGGCAACGAGTGGGCCCCAGAATCAGAACCTTTGCCTGAGCGCCTTTGAGCTCTCTCTGGTGCATCTAGACCCCTTCTTTTACGTTTATTACTCGTCTCAGGCTGGCTAGTTTCGGCATAACTTTTAGTATTCCTTGCAGCACGAGGAGCGAGTGCTTCCTGGACCATATGATATAAGAAATATCAGTATCTGGTAGCATATACATACATACATACACATATGTGTGTGTACGTGTTGTCTAGGTATTCTGAAAGTTTATACTCCCAAGGCATATCAAGCTTTTGTTATGCCCATCAGCCAGAGTGCATGACAACAACAAAGCGTTTATCCTCAGTTTTGGGTCAAGGACATGAATCCCACTTTTCCATTGCGTTCTATTGAAGCTGTGTCCTTTACTAGGTTAATCACTACCCTAGGTAGCACAGATAAAGGCGTGTACACGTTAACAAACATGAGACATGGCAAATTTGAAAAATGTGGGACACTCACACAAAAAAAGAAAAAGAAAACAATTTACATTAGATCAAATATAGAATTAAAATACCTATAATATTTGTATGTTTCTTTTTATTATCTATAACAATTAAGAATCAAGTTAAATCAAACTAAGAATAAGCTTTAACAACAAAAGTTTAGTTTTGATCGCATGGAATAATACAATGGGTATTTTTTAAATATTCAAGTAAGGGGTTTCAATTTTGTTGTTCAAATAACTGATCGGTTTTGAACCTAATGTTACCAAAGAAATTAGTTTAGGGTATAAGTAATAGGGAAACCGGGTTTTGCTTAGGACCAGACGTGTCCATGAAGAATCCATGTCCGACACGTATCGGACACGGACACATCATCCAAAATGCCGTGTCCAAGTAACCTAGTCACTACCATATCCTTTATATAACTGCTTCTAGCCAAAGTGCATGATGTGCTATCAAATCCACTCTGTCAAGTTTGATACAAATTTCATGGATGTACAAAAAAAAGCACTTTGAGGACGTATTAGCGTGCATGAAGTTTTTGAAGAACTGAAGGCTTTTTTGATTATATAACTAAAAAGACCTTGTGTTCCATGGCTTTGCAGTCTCCAAAATGCATAATGTTTCTCTTGCATGTGCTCTGGTGTATACCATGATAAATGATAAATAGAATAGACTTACCATTAGCGATGGCAGAGTTAGGACCAATAGGTTAGTGGGGCAATAAATTATAAATGTAATATAATATAACATTTATAATCCACCTAAATCAATTAATTAATACATTCTAATATCAAAAGAAAAGACATTCTACACTTGTCATGAACGAGTTTTTATTTTTAGAAATTTTTGTACAATCAACTCATTATCAATCGTCTCATACACTTCTCTCTCAAGTGCTACCTACAATATATAAAACAATAAACAATAAGTTCCGAAACCTGACGTCCTAACACTAAGTTAAAATCATTCGATAATGAGGCCGTGTGAGACATAATAACCTTGATAGATCTTGGTAACTTAAAAAGCCCATCTTTTGTTCATCATAATAGTGAGGAATTATCCATTACTTGTTGTAATCAACAACCAACACTTCCTAAACATGATCATTGTTTTTTGATCTTATGCAAGATTCTGACAATAATTTCGTTCATTATACAACTAAATAACTTATCTTTTCCCTTAGTAGCATAAACTTCAATCTTTTTCACAAAAAAAGGCATCGTCCTCTTCTAGTCACAACCTCCTTTTTCTTTTTCGATTTTTCTCTTGAAACAAAACAATCCAGTTGACTACAATGGAAGAGCAATTTGATTAGAGATAACTAGGATGAGAACTAGTTTTTTTTTTTTTTTCTCTTGACCGAATGAGAGCTAGGTTTAACTAATGAGTATTTGTATTTAACAAAACGGGTTATATCAAAACCTAACAGCAATTAATTAAAACATCAATTATATTTAATAATATGGACCTCTATTTAAAATACATGTCATAAAAAAGTGTAAATTATTTAAACCTATGAGTTGCCTACAATGAAATTAAATATAAAGCAACTATAAAATAGTCATGTGTGAAACATCAAGTAGGGGCAAACATTAAGCTAGATCTCTACAATAAACTAAATACTTACATAGGGTATATTGCAAATTAAATTTTCAGTGGGTGGGATTTGCCCCCACTAGTGTGTATGTGTGACCGCCACTGACCATTGGGATAATCCAGGAGCGGAGCTAAGTACCATGTTCGTCCCTCCCCCACCACCCACCCGCAAAAAAAAGGAAAAAGAAACCGAAGAAAACTGATTGAGTTGAGTAGGGTTTTATGTATATAGAGATTTGTAGGTTAGCTTAAGTTGGTTTAAATGAATGTATTTTCTAAATTATTATAGTTGGATTTATTTGTGGGTTTGTCAATTATGGCTATGTTTTACAAAGTCATTATCCAAGTAAATAAGTTATAAAATCTATCTAATAATGTTTTTGTTGACATTCAAATAATCATATTTTTATGTCATACAATAGCAACTCATGGGAAAACTTAGAACTATAGAAACTTTCTTCAAGAAAATTGATGACAATCATGTAGAACAAAATCATTTCCCACAATGAAAAGTTTGAAAACAAGGATTGCAATAAGATGGTTGATCGTTTTCTTGCGAACAACTTGGTTGTTTAAATTGAAAAGGAACTTGATGAAAATTTTACCACCAACATTATCAAAGAGAAATTTGATTTCATGAAGTGTCGCAAAGCACATCTTCTATAAGAAGTCTACTTTTTTTCTTTTTTTTAATGCCCATATGACTTTTAATATTTGGATTATATCATGAATATATTTGAATGAAAAAACATACAAACTTGGTTTGACATTATCGTCATTTTTTAAAGAAATAAACAAGAGAGCCATTATGTATCTTGGTCAACACTGTAAAAGGCAATCTAGATGCCTGCCTAGGCCTAAGCAATACCTAGGTCGCCTGCCAAGGTCTTAAAGCGCTTACACAGACTGCACCGCCTATGTTTTAGTCGTGATTTCTCCTGTTGCCACTTCCACGTTCCCTCACCTCCTCCGGCATCCTCCATCCTCCACCAACTACAAACACTTCCTCCAAATCCTCCAGCTTTTAGCAAAACTTTCTCCACCACCACTTAAAAAAAAAAAAAAAAGAAAACCACATAGCCCCACCTAGGCACTGGTCTGCCACCTGGCACCTAGCGTTATCTAATGCTTTCTATAACAATGATCTTGCCCCACCCCCCAGCCCGAAAAAAAAAAAAATTGGCTCCGCCACGGGGATAATCTGAGCATTATCACAATGCCTCTTATATAGCCCTCTTATATAGAATAGCCAATAACAGTCGATGATATGTAGACCAAAGATTGGATCGTCCATTTTGATAACATATCACATACTTCAGCATGGCCATACCTAAGCATGTTACTCCAATATATAAGTGTGATTTTGTGTGTGCTTGTATATAAATATGCACATTTATCTATCGCTAAGATAATGTGATATGAGCTGAAAGCACACAAAATTTTTGTTTTACAATTCAAACCCACCAATACTGGTCATCCAAATAGATGATTCTCCATTCATCACGATCAACATCCAATAGGTGGTTATGGGTCTATATCATGAGGTAGCTCGATGAACCCGTAAGATATACACCTTGAGAAATGGGTTATCCTAGATGGAATATTTTTGGAATCAGGATATTCCTTTAATTATGTCTATAAGATATCCTATAATCTGGAGACTTCTTATGGACTATTGCTTTGTCCCGAAGATCTTTTTTGGGCTTCTCCTAAGTGGACAACCTTGTAGGATATTTCCCCACTACTTGACTTTGTTTGGTGAGTGACACTCCCCTTTATTTCCCATAGATACAGCAATTCAGACAAATAAAATCAGAACAAGAGCCACCTATAAAACTTGGATAACAATCTGTGAACAGCCTCAATAGGAACAACACCCTATCTGTTGGGAAGACCAATGGCTGTGATGATCAAAGACAACATTATGAGATCTAACAAACTTCTTGGAAAATCAATAATAAAGATTGTTCCAAAAGTGATAATCATATAAATAAAATAAGGTAGGAGTTCCACCTGATAAACGTTCTACTGTCACAAAATACCTGGTTTTGCTCCCAATCCCACTGTTATTCAGTTCTCTTCATTAAGTAGCAAATGGTTCAGAGGCAATTTGATGGTTTGAGTGTAATTTCTGGTTTAAATTTTTTTCTAACGAGGCTCCTTACTAATAAGGCTTAATCAGTGGCACTTCATTGTTCAGCTAAATACGAGGGTCCTGAAGACGTATATAAATGGCACCCAAAAGTGAATTGTGATGATCATGATGATACAGAAAATCTCTTTAAAACTGCGTACATTAGCTTGATCTATAGCTTCTGTCTGTATCAATCGACTCCAGAATGTTCCATCATCTTCAGCACTGCCAAAATTTGCAACCTAGTAGAAAGGAGAGAGTAAGTGGTGAAATTAATATTGAATATGCAAGAATACCTTCCCAAATTTTCTCCAACAAATGTTGGCAAACAAAATATCTTGCCTTGAAAGCACTAAGCAGTTCACTTCCAGGCTCCTCATCCGCCTCTTTGGATTCAATTTTCTCAGCTCTCTCAAGAATTTCATCTATATCCATGCTTTCAAGTCTCTTTTTGCTCTCTTCATCATTCTTGTCCTCCTTGAACAACTCCTCTGCTCCAAATTTCAGTATTGCAGAAAGCTCATTCTGCAATTAGGATAATAATGGATCAAGAAACTGCTGTTACTCAAAACTGAATGCTAAAAGAAATTTTTATAGAAACAAGACATAGCAGCATGTAAATACAGGTAGAGTCTGGATTCCAATTTTCACGGAGAAAGCATTTGGTATGAGTAATACCTGCTAGAATTCTAATAATAAGACAATATCCCAATGATGCATAAAATAAACGGTGTCTCAACATCCAATTTGGACTACACATTAGGTAACAAAGTTACTGCCTAATATACAATTCCCCTTTCTGTTTACCTTGTCAAACATAGAAGTACCCTTTTTCGATTCTTTCTTTTCCAGTCTTCCCTCTGCATTTAGTTTCTGAATCACCAGGTGATCTAGAACCTATAGATGTAAAAGAAGATAAATAAATAAATAAAGATTATTCACATAAATAGAAATGTAACAGCATCTGAAACATCTCAAAATCTTGCATTAAAAATTTTGAAAAATTTGAAAGAATATATCCATACCATTTTTTTCTTTGCACGCTCTAATATATCCTCCTCAACACTTTTACTAGTGACAAACCGATAGATGTTTACAACATCTTGTTGTCCAATCCTGTGAGCTCTACTCATCGCCTGTATTAACACACTCTCTATTACGACACAGAGATACACACATGGAAAAGGAGAGAAATGCAAAAATATACTAATCACTATAAAATTAATCAAAAAGGAATTCTAATCATTACACATTCTCAGACCTGCAAATCATTCTGTGGATTCCAATCTGAGTCGAAAATTATGACAGTATCTGCAGTAGCAAGGTTAATTCCTAGTCCACCTGCACGTGTGGAAAGGAGGAAGCAAAAATCATCACTTCCTGGTGCATTAAAATGCTCCATTGCCTGGTGACGAAGATCAGCCCTTGTACTGCCATCCAATCTCTGAAACTGGAATCCTCTAAGTGATAAATACTCTGCTAGAATATCCAACATCCGCACCATCTGCATGATAGGTAAGGAATATAGTCGTAGTTATAAGAATCACCTTTTTTCAACCCTATGTTTCACTGAAGGGCTATATATGGAGCAAAAAAAGAATGTGGTATATGAAAGGCTAGATTGCACAAAGAGAGGAGAGAGTAGAGAGGTGCAAATATGGCTTAGAGGTCTTAGGAACAAAGGTTTAGAACCTTTACCTTAGATTTCATATAAGCTCCTTGTTTACTAATTAAAAGAAAAATGTACCTCCTAAGAAACGTGTAACTGGCCCATAAAGGTGCACCTCTGATCTTTCAGCGATGAGATATTCCTACGGCCATTTCGAGCCTCCAAGAGCCATAGGTAGCCTCATTTTGACTTGGAAGCTGTAACCCATTTAAAAATCTGGTGGCGTAACATTCTTTTTTTTTAAATGATAGAGTTTAGCGTGAAGGTTCTTTATTAAATTATTTCAATAAACCTAGCTTAAATAGGTGAAGTTGCTTTGAACTTCGTTATTCTTGAGTTATTTTGAAGCTAATCTGATGCAAATAAAGTTTATTATACTCTTATAATTCTGGATGTATCTGACTATCTGTAGCTTCACCAGAAGTCAAAGATTTTGGTGAGAATTAGGGGATCAAAATTGAATTTTGAATGTTTCTTGCAGGATGATGGCCAGTTTCATGGACTAAAACCTTTCCTATTGAACATCAGCGATTTTTTATTTTTCTTTAAACATAAGCCGCGCAAAATTTGAACTTGGACTTCTCACTTCTCAGATACCATCTTAGCTGATGTTATGTCAAAATTCTAAATTCAGTAGTGAGAATTGAGGGATATGTGTTTGATTCTATCAGTAATAATACTTATGCAATTCTTAACACCATCAATAGAAAACGAAGGTAGATTTTATGACTACAAATAATGCAGCTAAAGGCCTGGTTTTGAATAAATGGATCAATTTAATTGACAAAATTTCCTCAAACTGGAGTTGCCGAAAGGCAACATAGCAAGGATGTCAATATCCATGTTGCTATAAACGTTTTGCTACTTATCAAAACCATGCTTCTTATCCATGCAACACCTTTTTCCTCTTGACACATATATTAGATCATGTAAACTTCAGAGCGTCAAACTTTATACACTTGTACTTTTGAAAATTAGTAGTACGGCTTTACAATTAGGGGTTGTCATTGTACTTCTGAAAAAGTAGTAGTATGGCTTTACAATTAGGGGTTGTTTTGGCAACCAAAATTGAAAAGTTATGAGAAAGTACTTCCTTTAGAAAGCACTTTCTCTCTTTTATTTCCAATCTGCAGATCTTGTTTGGATGATAGCAAGTGAAAATGAGAAAACTTGAGGTGGAAGCTGATGACGTGGCATCTTCACTTTCTTTGTCATATTTGGTTGTCAAGGAATGTGAAGAGTGGGCACTGGCAGTGGATATTTAAAAGTGATATAGGAAGGACTAGGATAAAAAGATAACTCTTTCTCATTCACTTTCCATCCAATGTTGCTTTACTTTCTAAAATTTTGGAGAAGATGAAAAAAACTAAAATGTTGATGTGCCCCCAAGGATGGATCTATGTAGAGGGTCATGGGGTATTTGCCCCCACAGAATTTTAACCATTTTACTTGGGGTATACAAATTTACATAGGTTCCCCCATACAATTTGTATAGGTGCCCCCATAAAAACCGGTAATCTCATACAATTAAAAGGCTATTGCTTGGAAACCAAGTAGTATTCTTTTTAGTTCTTTTACAATGAAAAAGAAAATAATCATGTGTTGAAAATGATAATGAAAAATATCATGTGTTGAGATGTGTTCATTTAACTAAATGAGCTACCAAGAGATAGACTAGTGGTGAGGCCTACCATGGTTGTCACAAACAAAAGGAATGGACCTCAGCACTTTGTCTCTTAGCAGCTCATTTTGCTAAATCCCCATACCCATGAAACTCTTATGGGTACAATTGTACACGTGCCCCCATAGAAAAAAAATCTGTATCCGTCCCTAGGCACTCTCCACTTTTCAATCATTTTCCAGTAGCCAAACAGGGGGATAAATAGAAAGTAAAGCCACTCTCCAATGTTTGGTCCACTTTTCATTTACTTTCTTGTTACAAAACGCCTCTTTACTTTAAAAGCTTGATTTTCCATGTAATAGTACATCATATGTGAATCTCTGTATCCATAACCATTATTTAAAGCGAGCATGTACATTAAGTGTACCACTAAATTTATCTATAATGCTACATATTAAGTAATCAAGCAAGCACTCTCTCTCACAGTTTCTAGTGAATATCTAGTTTGCTAAAGCATAAAATTACATATAACCATATCTAACAGGACACAATGAATTGTTTATCTTGATCAGAAGTAAGAAGTGTTTCCAAGAAGCAAAGTCCAGCTTTTCTCATACCTACCCCACAAGGAATTTAGCATCGACCAGAAGCAAAGCTGACAGTTATTGCAAACTATGACAGTTATTGCAAACTATAACCAATATTGCTATAAGTATTCAATGGTTATGCTTCATAGCAACCTACATGTCGATGGGAGTAGGCTTTAATTGTGGGAGTAAATTTTTCCACAATCTTCAAACTTACAAAGTGATATGTTGATGCATCTTCTCCCAATGCCCACTTAAGGTAAAAATAAAATAAAATCAATAGTATCAGCTACTGCTTGAACAGAATCTTAGTTAATAAAGAAAGAACAAGAAGGAGAGAAAAGGCAAGCTAAAATGTATGTAAATGGTGATCAACACAAGATAAGGAGATTTTTTATGTCTACCAGATATAGCATAAGTGTAGCCACAAAGAAAAGGCCCAACTCGTATTATGCATAAAATAAACTATCTGGTACATTTCAGCGTCCTGTATGCGAGTATGGGTACGGCTTCATGATGGAAGTACCCAGGTAAGATAGATGAATCCCATTAAAAGATTTTAAGCCCGGTAAGTGTTAAGAGTCCGATATGTGGTGGGTACAGGTACAGCGTCATAATAGAAGTATCCGGGTCATATAGATGAATCCCATTAAAATATTTGACAGAGTGGTAAAGCATTAAAGATATTGGCTTTAAGATATACAAAAAACAATATGTTTAATCAGGTAGGATTATGTGAACCACTTTTTTAGATACAAGTCTGTCTGCTGCGCAAGCATTCAAAAATAAGATCTACTACTACTACAGTAAAAAAATCTAAGAACGAAGGAATAGCATAAACAAAGATCAAGCAAGAAGGAAACCTGAGAGAATATTAACACTCGATGATTGGTCTGCCGCAACCTTATCAATAGTTTATCAAGTATTACAAGCTTCCCACTACTCAAAACTATGCGCTCGACTTTACTGCTGTCACTAGTGCTGGTATCTCCACCATAACCATGATCCGCGCTTTCAAATAAAAATGGATGATTGCAGCATTTCTTCAACTCAACAACAATGTTCAAGAGTGAAACCTGAAGGAGGGAAATATTAGAATAGAAAAGCATCCAAAATAAACTACATATTAGAAATGTCTATAACTGATATTTTTATTATTTTTTTAAAAAAAAAGGAGCATCGCCATCATATTATTTAAACTATGACAGCTAGAAGACTATTTCACCTAGAGGGAACTGAGGCAACTGACATTTTCTGATTAATTCTTATAAATGGATAAGGTAAATTGTATGCATAATAAACTCAAATTTTACAAGAAATTTTTAAAAAATGTGATATTACTGTGTTCCTCGACTACAGACATCAAAAAATTAAAAGAGATCAATAATACAACCATAAGAAATACAATAAATGACGTGATTCTCCAAACAGTGCATTGCATGATAGATTATAAAATTAAAACTTTCAGAAAAAAACAAAGTTTGCGTTATAAGGAGACCATAGTCATTCACAAACCTGATTTCCACGAACTCCTTTATTCAGGTTGTGAAAATTCCTCTCCAAAATCCACTTGTAATACCTATTAAGATGTAAGACCATCAGCTAAGTCTTTTTTTTTGGACAGAAAAAAAAAACATGTCAACTAATGGAAGCTTACTGTTTCTGAAGAGGAGTCATTTCCACCCTAAGTATGCGCTCAATTTTTGGAGGCAAGGACTTCTCCACATCCTTGATAACTCTTCTGAGAATGTGTGGCCTCAGCTCCTTATGAAGATTAGCCAGCTAAAGAATAACCCAATGCAAATTTCAGCATATAGAAAAAAGTTCAGTCATGTAACCAAAAAGAAGAAAAAGATACTTCATAAGCATAAAGATAAGGGGTGTGAGAAAGAAGCAACATCAGGATAATGTCTACCTCAATTTCGTTGAAAGAACTAAGGTTCTTATAGTTCTCAACAAAAACATCCTTACTATTGAACTTGACAGGGTCAAGGAAGTGAAGAAGGGCCCTGTAGCAGTGCAGGTAAAATGAAATAGTAAATCAAGTTGCACTTAAAAATAAGTTAAAATATATAGGTAAACAGTCCAACAGAGTTATTTATGAAGTGAAGAACGGCCTGAATCAGTGCAGGTAAACTGAGATAGTAAATCAAGTTGCACTTAAAAATAAGTGAAAATATGTATAGGTAAACACTCCTGCGGAGTTATTTGTCAATATGACATACAGCTATGTTGCACAAAGTCAACTATGAGATAGTGAGAATGCAAAAAAATCACACAAGCACGCACACAGATATACATATATACACATGATATATCATACTCCCTTTGGAAGTGTGGGTTTGGGAAAATCTTTCCATGGATAAAAGTACCCTTGATCCTTATGGATATCACATAACCTATCCTATCTTAATTAATAGGTATAAGCTTCAATTATCCTATCCTAATTAATACGTATGAGCTTTAGCTTCCATTATCCCACATGAACAGATTTCAATGATTAATAGGTATAAGCCTCAATTATCCTGTCCTAATTAATACGTATAAGCTTTAGCTTCAATTATCCCACGTGAACAGATTTCAACAACTAATAGGTATAAGCTTCAATTAACCTGTCCTAATTAATACCTATAAGCTTTAGCTTCAATTATCCCACGTGAACAGATTTCAACGAAGTTGGATCATAAGCTTTGGCTTCAATTTATGTGAACAGATTATCCTAATTACAACTCTATGTATACAACATGTATTTGCAATTTCAACTCCCTTGTGACTACTAGAACTCTATTTACAACATATCAACTCCCACATTATCAATTCCCACATCAACTTTATTTACTGGGTAGCTATTTTGCAAAAACAAACTCTTATGTGAAAGGAGTACATCAGCACATGCCTATAAATACACCAAGAAATTACGCAATTTTTCATGGTAATTTCTCCTCTTGATTCAGAATCTCTTTTGTTTTTGTTAGTGTCTTTGATTGGTAAGATAAAACAAATGCTACTTCTTAATGCTTATGTTAATCATTGGATTATTAATTATTTTATTCACATTAAATTGGAACTCCAAATAGAATAGGGATCCTTCTCCTTTGTGTTCAAACCTATTTTCTTGATATGCACTATTCAATAAAAAGTTTGTCCTATACAATAAGGTTATTTAAGACCAAAACAATCTGAATATCACCAAAATTTATTTAAGACCAAAACAATCTGAATATCACCAAAGTTTAATTTTATTTCCTATCACATACATTAGCCTATTTTATCATGCAAATTAAGCACGTATACCTCACCCTATGTAGCACGGACACGGATCCGACACGGCCATCCGACACGCCGACACGAGGCAAATCCTAAAAAATACATAGGATACGTGTGTTCGACACGTGTGTCCGATACGGACACGACACGACACGGCTTCATGTTATGCGTGTCCGTGCTTCATAGACCTCACCTATTCAATAGTAAGCCTACTTGAGGCCACAGATGTTATTTGAAGCCTATCTACTTGATAGGATACTATCTCATACATATAAGTATCACATATAAATTGTTAGAATATAAATCATAGTCTTCTTATCTTTTACATATAAGCCTGTCATCACAGAGTATCTCAACAATATACATCAACCCAAATATACAACTTGCTAAAGACATAAGAGAATGGTAATTCAATTAAGCAAACATTCATATAACACAGTAAAGAAAAACATTACATGTTTAAGCTAATATGTAGGGGTTCATTAAAAACAAACTATCAAGAGAAATGCATCTCCATCGAGGCTCTTTAAAAATGCTATAGAAATTAAAATTAGTGACGCTATCTACGCATCATAGAGGTACGATCTTACAGAACTTGCAAAGGCTACAACAAGAAGGTGAATAAAGATGTTGATAACAAGTGTCTGAATGAAAAATGTTGCAGAATTGCCGACGACTCACTACCAAGGTTAAATAATATCTCTTGTTCATGAAAGAAACATGTCAAAATCCTATATAAACATATAATCTAAGGCAAATCGACAATGAAAAATGCAGGTGTCTAGTTAAGATCCTCATGGAAAATGACACAGACAATGCAAAGGTAACATTGTTTAACGTAGCAGAAACTTTTATTGGATGCAAAGCAGAAATTTTCATTGTCGAGAAAAAAGAGGCAACTCTTCACTTTATTAAAGTAATAAAATTAGAAACCTGGAAAATATGAAATTTTACTTTTGTTCTCATTGAAACAAAAAAGGTGGGGAATGATTGATCTCAACTCAATAAAAAAGGAAATGAAAGGCGATATTTTTTGGATATTTTATAGAAAAGTTTAATTCTTTTGAGTAAAATTAGGCATTTTTAGAAGGAATTTCATGAATTTTTTTTCAATATTTTCATATGGTTAGGTGAATACTTTTATCATATTTTTTTTGAATGTTTTTCATTAGGATAAGTTATGGTTTGTAAGTTCTAGTATATGTTACTGGATGCACAAGTCCATCTTGCTTAAATTTATAACCTTGACTTTTAAAACTCCAATTTAAATGATAGGTTTTCTTATTCTATAGTCATTAGGGAGCAACATGGAAGATATTTCCCTCTTTTCTTTTTACATCCATAGGAAGTTAACATCATCTATTATCATAAGCTTTGAGGTATTGAAAAAACAGATTGCCAAATTGGGTGACTAACCTTTTCTGATGATTTGTTTCTCACAACCCTTATGGTCATAACATATAAAATGAAAGCTGAACATACATAAATGTAAGTATTATGAAAGTTTACACACAAGACTACACCATCAAGTGGATGTTTAAAAGAAACAATTTCACAACATAGTAACAAAAGAAACCAAAAATAAACAATCCATAATATCTAACCACGTGCACTATACGTGCATCCAACCTAGAAAACACATGGATGTGTGTGTGTACAGAGTATACACTGGGTCATTTTGGAAGATAGTTCTTTCCATTCAAACTAGATGTTTAGGAACATGAAAATCCTCTCAGTTCATCTTCTCTTTTCAAAATTTCAAAAAACCAAAAATCAGTAGTTAAAGCTTTTCGTGTGTGTAAGCTTGAGCAACCATGAGGCAGATTTGTGATTTGTCTGTACATGCTTCAAACTGAAAAAAATGATAATAATAATAATCACATAGAGAGCATAGTCACCATAGCTCTTCGACGCTATTCTGCAATGGAGTACCGGTAATAAGAAGCTTATTTTTTGTGTTAAATTCCTGCATGAAGGGGGAAATTAAAATACAGATACTTCAGAATAAACAAAAATACCTCAACTGAAGTAACGACATCAGACCACACATATATAATAAAATGATAAACAGAACATGATGCATGCATACCGAGAGAGCAATATACAAAGATGCTTCACTGTTCTTCAGTCTGTGGGCCTCATCAACCATGAGATAATTCCATTTAATCTTAGAGAGGATAGCTTTGTCCTTCAGTATGACTTCATATGTAGTTAACAATGCATTGAATTTTATCAATCTTCCAGTACTCTTGTTCGTGTAAAACTCGTACTGTTGACACACCTGCTTTCAGACAGAAAGAAAAGTTATCATGCGCAATTATCCAACAAAAAGATCAAAATGTAGCCATGAAATCATAACAGCATAAATGTACACTCAGAAGTTTGAAACCTTGATGGATAGGAAACAATCAACTTCAATGTTACCACAAAACACAGGTTGAACTCTATGTTAAAAGATCTCTTATCTTGAAAGTGGCTTTATTAAGTTTACATGTTGAGGATTGGGATCACACTGGCCCATCACACCTTTATCATCAAACTCATTTACACAAAATGTCCTGTACATGATTCTCAACTCTCTCGAGAAATCTAATAAATAAATAGTCCACGATAAAACAACTATGTAATGGGCCCAAGACAATGGTTAAAAGGGAAATAATATATATGAGGATTGACACTTCTCACACAAAATCCATGGTTACATCAACACATAGAATCTGCAAGTACAAGCGCAGAAGCCCTGACCACTTCACATCTGTGGTATTTACTTCATTAAAACAGAGAGAATACCGAGTGCACAACACAATTCATACCCTCATATATTAGGGAAGCATGAACCGAAGACTATGTTGAAAAGGGCACTAATAGCAACATGTCTATGCTTTGAATCTTGAGGAAAGTTTGAACATAATAACATCACCTTATGGTTCCAGACCTGATATACATACTAGAAGTGCTTAACAATAGTGCAAGTGTTGCGGAGAAAAAAGATAAAACAGATGCAGTTATATATACATATGAAGGTTCACCACAGAATTCCAGTGGTCAATGGCGCACACGTAGCCCAAATTATGATGTGGTAAACAAGGAAATGACTGCTATTTAAAAAATAAGGATATGTGAGGATATGTGATCCCAAAAAGATATAAAGTTTTATAACCAGGATACAACTGAGGAAGCGATTTTTGCTCATCACTGTACTTCTCTTAGGTGTCAAGTAATTGCTTCTCATGTTTCAAACATTCAAGTTTACTCAGATATACCATTACTCATACAAAGAAAAAATGAAATACCTCTCTACTGGCACGATTGCCAACATACACGACTATATTCATTTCAGGGAGCCATTTCCTGAATTCTTTTGCCCAATTTGACAAGGTTGAAAGAGGTACAACAACAAGGAAAGGCCCATGAATTTGTTGAGAATTCTACAATGAGAAAAGAAAGAAGAACGTGTCTTACAAACAAGAAAGGATGCAGAAGAATATGAAAAAATAAATAAATTTTGAGGGAAAAAATGGAACAAACCTGCAAGAAACCTAACATGGAAACTGACTGAACAGTTTTACCTAGACCCATTTCATCAGCCAGAATGACATTTGTATCATTCCTCCAACTGTAGGACAAAAAATCATTGATAAAGGACATAAGCTATGGCTACAATGTGCATGAAATAACTGGATACAGAAAATCACAAGAATGAAGAAGCCAGCTACCTGTTAACAAGAAAATTCAAGCCCTCAAGCTGATAATCACGAAGTTTACCGCCTTTCAACCATGCAGGTTGTTCATCAAGCTTTCGCAGGCTAGCTGGAGAAGGGAGGCAAACACCAAATTATGCACCTCCTAACTAATTACATGGTGCAAAAAGGACACATTGGAAACAGCGCAGTTTAATGCAAAAGAAAAGTAACAGATGTTGACAAGCAAACTAATAGATACCTTTTTTATACTGATGAAGGCAATTAACCAAAAGAAAAGCAACTTCAAAATTAACCAGTAATACATTGTTGAACAAAGAAAATGAAGACTATGGTTACCATAAATATTGAAGAAAAGCCTTTCTTATCCCTTCGGTACCAAGTTACTGAATATAAGATTATGATTACCATAGACGATTGACCAGAGCCTTTTCGACTCATTGTGCACCTAGTTAGAAAGTACAATGATAATTATCATAAACTACCGAAGAGGAGATGTTTGCAACTTGATTCCTATAAAAGGATCAAATTGACTAAAATGTCAAAATTATCCTTTTGAAACCAATATATGTTAACACATATCAAACTGCAGACATAGTGAAACCGGAGCAACTAAATGACTACTGAAGAGGAAAGTTTATGATTCCAACAATAGGATCAAAATGACTAACGTTGAAATTGTCCTTAAAAAATCAATTTAATCTTATACATATCGAAGTGCGCAAACCATGAGCAACTATATGTAAAAAGACGTGAAAGTTGGTAACAAAAAGCCTTCTCTCTCATTGGTCGCTTTAACTAAAAGATATTATGTTGAGAATTTAAACATAGAAGGAAATAGAGCTAATGACAATTAACTAATGATGTCTAGTTTGTGCAACCTAATAAGGAGTCTCTATTAGATGGAATCAAGTTAATATGCAATAATTTCCATCAAATTACTTCCCATTCTCTCTTCCCATATAATGCTAGGATAAGGACAGTATGAAAATAGAACTGCATGAAATGCATAAGACCTTTGCTTTTCTTCCTTTGAAAATCAACCATCTTTCCTTGCACAGTCATGGCTTCTTCACGAGCCTGCATAAAAATATAATATAATAAGGAACACAAAGCTAAACCATTCAGGGAATGACGAGATTATGCACTCATTGCAAACATAGATAAATAAGACAAAAGTTGACAGCTGATATGAGACCAAAATTTATGTTAATTATCGCACTTCACTAGCAGGTACGAAACTCTACTTACTACTGAAGGCATGGGTAAACGCGTGTTGGATCCTTTGAATTCCTCAAAAAAGGATGTTGACATTTTCCAGAGAGGTGTGAAGATATAGGCAAATAATAAGAGGTCTGATACTAATGGACAAAAAATGTTAAAGGGAACTGATTAAGCTAGCATATGCATGTACAATGAAGAGTTCAAGACAAGTGCAATAGAAAAGAAGCATGTTGGACTTGTATTTGATATGCAATGGATGTTTGCCATAATAGTTGCTACCAAAGAAGGTTAACATAAACTAAAAGCTATTCAAACAGGTGTTCAAACTTATCCTATATGTAAAAAATTATAACGCACAAAAGGGTAGTCTGCATTTCAGTTATGCCGTTTAACAAAAGTTCAGCATGATTCCTTTCTACTAAATGGATGGGCCTGAATATGAAAAAAATCAATTAGATCAAGGTATACCGCATTTATCAAACAAGTGAAGATGACAGATAGAGATTAAATAATTGGAATTTCTCACATGAAACCACATGGAGAGTAAATGCAATGGTCATAAGGTACATCACATCCTAGGAACCTCCAGTTCCCCCTGCAATCTCATGTATCACTTGAATAATATTTAAAAGCTAAAACTCCATGTTACAGTTTGGATGTGATGCAGAAAACTCCCAAATTACTCTTAGACAAAAACATTTAAGAAGGTACAACATTTGGATATAAATAATTTATACAAAGATGTTTTTATGAATGAGATTGTATGTTAAGAGTTATGTGCATGCACACACGCATGTGATCTAAATATGGTCATGTTACCTTGTATTCATCTATGGCATCCTGTGCAAATGCAATATCTGTATCCTTTTCCCTGTGGTAACACATTGACAACACCCAAAATAATAAAGATACAACACTAAAGAAAGAGTATAATACATGTTGTATTAAAACATCAGTAACACTCCAAATCAATTAAAACATTAAAGAGAAAATGCAATATATGTATCATTTCCTGCAGTGAAACATTAATATGCAAAAGATCAATAAAGTTGCGCTCTTAAACTTGAATTCAAAAATAAACAAATAAATAATTCAAATAAATCTAGTACCGATGGATAAAGCTGAAACAAATGATTCATCATTTATCATTTCTTTTTATATAATATAAAGTATAAACCATCAACCCTGAAGTTGGAAAGGTAAAATCAGGAAACAGTCAGAAAAAGAATGCATATATATATATATATATATATATACATATATATATATATATACATATATATATATATATACACACACACACATATATGTATACGTATACATGTATATATACATATACATGTGTGTAGCATGATTCCTTTCTACTAAATGGATGGGCCTGAATATGAAAAAAATCAATTAGATCAAGGTATACCGCATTTATCAAACAAGTGAAGATGACAGATAGAGATTAAATAATTGGAATTTCTCACATGAAACCACATGGAGAGTAAATGCAATGGTCATAAGGTACATCACATCCTAGGAACCTCCAGTTCCCCCTGCAATCTCATGTATCACTTGAATAATATTTAAAAGCTAAAACTCCATGTTACAGTTTGGATGTGATGCAGAAAACTCCCAAATTACTCTTAGACAAAAACATTTAAGAAGGTACAACATTTGGATATAAATAATTTATACAAAGATGTTTTTATGAATGAGATTGTATGTTAAGAGTTATGTGCATGCACACACGCATGTGATCTAAATATGGTCATGTTACCTTGTATTCATCTATGGCATCCTGTGCAAATGCAATATCTGTATCCTTTTCCCTGTGGTAACACATTGACAACACCCAAAATAATAAAGATACAACACTAAAGAAAGAGTATAATACATGTTGTATTAAAACATCAGTAACACTCCAAATCAATTAAAACATTAAAGAGAAAATGCAATATATGTATCATTTCCTGCAGTGAAACATTAATATGCAAAAGATCAATAAAGTTGCGCTCTTAAACTTGAATTCAAAAATAAACAAATAAATAATTCAAATAAATCTAGTACCGATGGATAAAGCTGAAACAAATGATTCATCATTTATCATTTCTTTTTATATAATATAAAGTATAAACCATCAACCCTGAAGTTGGAAAGGTAAAATCAGGAAACAGTCAGAAAAAGAATGCATATATATATATATATATATATATACATATATATATATATATACATATATATATATATATACACACACACACATATATGTATACGTATACATGTATATATACATATACATGTGTGTATAAATACATACATACATACATATACATATACATGTACATGTACATATACATACATACATATACACACACAAAAACTTCAGCCATTCATTAAGGTAAAATCAGAATCATATGCCTAGCATCATACATATAGCACAAGACTAAATCTCTTCTTCATCCACCTCAATTTATAGTGTTCCTGACATAAGGAACTGCATTTCAAGGAACTATGATGAAGGTACGGGAGTTCTAATGTTCCAGCCAAATCTTCCTTATTCTACAATAAATAACTAATGTGTAAATATAGGTTTAAGTGGAGAGATCGTCATTACTATACCCAATAACCATCTACATCAAAAATGGCCCACAAGAGACTAATGTGATATTGAACATACAATAGGAACAAGGACAAAGTTCCACCAACTGGACTCTTTAACAAAAGAAAGTGTGTGCTATTGTTCGCAGAGATTTGCAGATTTTTCCCACTTAATATTGAGAGATACAAAATTAACTAAGTGAACAATGAATGCTCCCTAGACAAAGCTTTCCTCAATCACTTCCCAATTCCTTACGCTACCAATATTCTTTCCCCTGAGAGCACTCTAGGCATACAATAGGAGCAGGAACTCAGGCCAACCAGCCTTCAACTTGTCAATAGGGTTTCAACAGTTGATAAACCACTATAAATATTTGGAGGTATCTGTATCAGTGTGCCAATAAAACAGATTAGTTGCCACATAGGCGTCCGGGTGCCACTCTGCATTGTTTTTGGGCTTGTGCGTCCTGAAAAAGGATACACCCTGCATAATCAGACGCATGTGGGCTAAGCTCCCGCATAATGATTACACGAACATGCAAGCAATTAGTCCGGTTTGTCCTTAACCCTTAGACCATCTCCAGCAGGTAGGCAAATTTTTACCTATTTTGTCATGCCACATCAGCTTATTCATCCAACACATCATTCAATAACACCCATTTCCCTTCCATTCCTGCAGCAGCTAGTTTTTCAGAAAGTTTTTTACTTTATTAGGGACCCACATGTCTCCATCATATACCCCACCATATTTCTCCACCATATTTATTCATTTCTTTTTCCCTATTTGATATATGTTATTATTATTATTAAAATTATTATTCATATATTTATAATTATTAATTTTTTTAATAATGCAATAAAAAATATATAATATTTAATAATATATTTTTAATTTAATTTTTTATATCAAAAATTCAAAAAAAAAATAAAAACAAAACACACGATATTATTAATCACACCCAATACCAAACATACACGAATTATTAAAAATATTGAAGAAAACACATAGTAAATTGGTAAATCTAATCGAGGGTTGTTCCAAATTTCTGCCAAATGTGCTCGACCAGATCCTTCTTCAACTGAATATGTTGGACCCTATCTCGCAGCTCGGCTCTAGTCGGAATATTCGAATCGGACCGGCCTTGAACATGCACTTGAAACTCAGGCAATACTTCTGTTTGAACATTGAAAGAGGCACTAGAGCCTGATGACTGTTCGAAGTCTAGATTTTCCCAGTTTCGGGAATACGTATCTCGTTCATCCTCTACTATCATGTTATGTAAAATAATGCACGCCCTCATAATTTTCCCTAAGACATCAAGGTCCCACATTCTAGCTGGTTGGCGGACAATAGCAAACCGTGCCTGGAGAACCCCGAATGCGCGTTCCACGTCCTTCCTGCATGACTCTTGTTGTTTGGCAAAAAATTGCTGTTTGTTTCCTTGGGGCATTTGAATTGACTGGACGAAGACAGGCCATTTAGGATAGATTCCGTCAGCAAGATAGTATGCAAGATTGTATTGTCTCCCATTCACAGTGAAGTTTACCCTTGGAGCTTCACCCGACTCAATGTCGTCGAAAACTGGCGACCTATCTAGTACATTTATGTCATTTAATGTACCAGGCAGCCCAAAAAAAGCATGCCATATCCACAAATCATATGAGGCAACTGCCTCAAGGATAACTGTTGTTGTTCCCTTGTGTCCACTAGTAAACTGTCCTTGCCAAGCCTTTGGACAATTCTTCCATTGCCAGTGCATGCAATCGATACTTCCAATCATCCCAGGAAAACCACGATCATCGCCAACTTGGAGCAACCTCTGTAAGTCATCCAAATTTGGTCGTCTTAAGTATTCATCTCCAAAACAGGCATCTCCAAAACAGGCTATTACCCCTTCACAAAACTTGCGAGTACACTCAATTACAGTGGATTCCCCTATCTTCACGTACTCATCACAAGCATCCGCTGCCACTCCATATGCAAGCATGCGTATGGAAGCCGTACACTTTTGGATCGGCGTTAAACCAACCTTTCCCGCATTATTGCGTCTTTGAATGAAGTAGTTATCATAATTTGATATAGAGTCCACAATCCGTAAAAAAAGTGGCATCTTCATTCGATACCTCCGTCGGAATTGTTCGTCAGTATAGGTGCATGACTCGACAAAGTAGTCTGCCATAAGCCTCTCATGAGCAGCATAGTGATCTCTATATATTGATTTTCTCTTATGGGGTTGTTCGCTTCTCCTTTGCAATTCTTCAAGAAGTTCTTGCTGCCTATCAAGTATTTTTCCTTCTAGCTCCCATTGTCGTTGGAACTCTTCGAGATCAAAGCCATTTGGGGGTAGATCCATTGGGTTGTTTGAAGAAGAAGGTTTGAATTGCTAAGTGTTGATAGTGAGTGGTTTTCATATGATGTGTGATACATTATTTATAATGAATGACCTACGGATTCCAATAAGTTGAATGAAAGGATTAGGTATGGTTCAATTTCAGAAGCTAGTTGGTAGATATGTCCAGATTCATTTTTGTAGTATAGTGGCTAGTCTTGTCACTTTCAATTTCAGAAGCTAGTTGGTAGATATGGCCAGATTCATTTTTGTAGTATAGTGGCTAGTCTTGTCACTTTCAATTTCAGAAGCTAGTTGGTAGATATGGCCAGATTCATTTTTGTAGTATAGTGGCTAGACTTGTCACTTTTAATTTCAGAAGCTAGTTGGTAGACATGGCCAGATTCATTTTTGTAGTATAGTAGATAGACTTGTCACTTTCAATATCAGAAGCAAGTGGGTAGACAAGTCATTTTCAATTTTCAGAAGCAAGTGGGAAGACATGGTCAGATTAATTTTTGTAGTATAGTGCATAGACTTGTCACTTTCAATATCAGAAGCACGTTGGTAGACATGTCACTTTCAATTTGAAACAGTAAAACACACAATATGGAACTTAAAGATCAAACAGATCCTTCTTCAACGTGTTATAAACATACTCATCTTCTTCATCACGATCTTCTTTGTTCTTCAAGATCATCCACACCTCCAACTTCTTAGCATAAGCAGCTTGTTTCTGACCTGCGGCGTACTCCAACATCGCTGAAACAGTACTTTCCATAGATTTTTCCCCTTGGATATGTAGTTTTCATCAGACCAACCACTACGCCTCTCTCTACAAGCAGTACTGTAACAGCCAACAAAACTGCTTATCTTTCTGTTAATGTCACGGAAATGACTCTGGCATCGAGCTACGGTCCTTTTTTCCCACTATTGGAGTTCTCATTCACGTAGTCTTTAATTTTACCCCAAAAGGTGTCACCTTTTTGATTGTTACCCAATTCACTATCATTGCTAACGTGAAAATAACCAGTTAGCAAAATGATGTTGTCTTCGGTGCTCCAAGTATCGTAAGTAGTTTTCTTGACTGATTGTTGGGTTGGAGGTAGAAAACTATTGGGAGTATCCCCACTAACATTTCCTAAAGATACCTGGGTGGAAAAATCTGGGATGTCTGTCGATCCACTACTGAAACGAGGAGTCGTTGGCTGGCTCGACTCCGGATTTGGAACGTTCATATGGGAAGGAACATAGCTGTTTCCAGGAGATGGTTGATACCCATAAGGAAGATAAGGGTATTGCATGCCAAAATTTGGTTGCATCATATAGGGCATTTGAAAATTGGGTTGCATCCCGGTATTTTGATTATTTTCTGGGCGTTGCATATTTGGATGTTGAGGTTGATTAGGAAAGTTGTAATTGAAGGGGAAATTAGGAAAGTTTTGTGATGGCTCCATGAAGAAGATTGAAGAAAATAGTTTCAGAAACAAAAAGGAAGGAAAATAGGGTGTTGAAAACTCAATTTTTTTTGGGTGTCCAAATAATACAAAGTTAGGCTCTATTTATAGAGCTCGAAAACTTATGAATTATGGTGCAAAAATAAAAAGTTAATTCTGAGTAAATTATTGTCAAAATATCAATTAATAATTGAGGATGGGGTAAAAAAGCATGGCCCAATCAGAGGGCAACACGCGTCCGCGTGCAGGACAAGGCTGTCAGCAGCCCTGCACACGGACGCGTGTTGCCCATCCATTGGGCCACGCTTTTTTTCCTTTCTTTTTTAATTCCAGCTGCTGTATGGTGGGGCCCGCTTGAGTCAGATTTGTGCAGAGAAAACGGTAGGGAAAATTTTCCCTCTTTGCCTCCGTTTTTCATTTCCCTATCCCAAAAACTACCTGCTGTACCAAAAAACTCTCCCAAAAACCACCTGCTGCGGGTGGTCTTATAACCAATCCCTCCCTCCCTCTTGGTGCGTCCTTGACTCTCCTAAGGATAGTAGATAATGTGGCTTTGATGACAGTGGAACGTGGACGGCCACGACGATGGTGCTCCCACAATCTGCCGATGTAGGGGCTAATTCGACAATAAGTTCCCCCTTTTTGTGCACATTCAACAAAAAGACTTTTTATTTCTTTGGTTTTAATCTCCATATGCTCTCTCCTCTTCCATGCGACAAGAAGAATTGAGCAGGAGGTACAATAGTTGAGATCAGGTTGTCTTTTAGTTATTCCCTAATCATAGGAGTTCTTCTCCCTTTGTTGTCTCATACATATTCTTTTTTAAACCTTTCATATATTGGATTCAGATGTAAAACTAATGAATCATATAAGAAAAACACACAGGCACACACATGCTCATGCCACAACACACGCGCGCACAGAGATAAACACTCCCTCAATCACGCATGCATAATTATATTATAAAAAGCTCAAGACTGTGCAATTAAATAAAGCCTTTTGATCGTCACATAATCAAAACTACCTTATACAATGTTGATCAAACTGTTAAAATGGCTAATGGTTCTAGTGAAGCTAATAGAAAATTTCACTAAAACTTAGAGAGGTGAGCTACAGTAAGACAGGACAATTCAGACAGAAAGAAGAATCTCACGTGGCAAGATACTTTTACAGCCCATGAGTTACTATCTACGTCAAGTCATACTCAACTCTTTGTTAAGAAAGAAATTTTAAACAGGAAATATTTGGGTTTCACAGCAAATTTTCACAGACCTAGTAGTACTTAGTTTACCATCCCATAGAAACTAATAAACACACACATATTAAGGGCTTGATCCAATAGCTTCAGGTTTAAACAAAATAATAAATTATACACTAAGAGAATGAAAACAATTAATTAAGAAGGCTAATGCAATATACCTTGAAGTAAAAAATCTAACGGTTTCAGGGTTAGCTTACAGAACTCGAAGATCTTAAAAATTTCATAAGCAAAGCTGTTAGAACTTAGAAGTATAAACTCCACAGAACATACAGTTCATACACATTTTTAAGTGTGTGCATCATGCACAATGGAACTTTCTGTAAAAGGGCTTGACGCATGGCGGCATGAGATGATCATATTCCCAATTGACAAGGGCCTGGCAGTTTGAATATTGGTTTAAATTCAAAATTGTGTAAAAGCATCTCACGGAAAGGTTCAAGCATTCGGACCCCACAGTTGCTTTAGTTAAGCGGCCTCTAAGGTGGTCTTCATTGTAAGGAATATGATACTTGTTTGCGTCGAAAGTTGGTTTATTCATGGAACTCATTACAACTTCAATCGTTTACAACAATCTCAAAAGAGTTAAGTGTTTTTATAAGACTTTTCTTACACAAATAAAAAAAATGAAAATACAACTCTCTAGAAACACACGCAAAGGACGTTTATCACTCGTTGCTTGCGTGGGATCTTTGCTTATGTCGGGGTTTATTCGTGGACCACCGCGAATCTGATCCGGTTGATCGGAATAAAAGATCAATGATCTTGCTTCACAAAGGAAACAATTGCAAAAGTAAATAATCTCAACAAAGTGAGATTACTACTCTTCTCAAGATCAAAACAAAGTATGATCTCAAGGAATGATGAAACAGACTTCAGATCTCTCGAAATCTACTCTTTATGCACAGGAATTCGCCAAGATCTCGCTAGCCTCTCTCAAATTCGTCAGAACCTCGTCCTGGCTCCTTTGAAATTCAAGGCTCCCTTTAGATCTGCCTTTATGAGGGTACTAGGGGTGTATTTATAGATTTTAAATATCGTGTTTGTGGATAGGATCGAAGAACAATCGTTATTATCCGTTTAGGTGGGTTTTCGGTTGTGTAACAGCTTCCACACGTTTAAGGATAACCCCACATGATTATTGATGACCACCAGGAGTTCTAGAAGTCAATCTTATCAGAAAACACGTCGAGAGCTGACCTGGGCGCGAGTCACTTCAAAGTAACTCGGATTCTCCGAGACAGTTTGTACTATCTTCGGTATTTTGGCTTTAATTTTCTCGTTCGACCTCGAAATGAAGTGATTCAGATTGCGTTGGAAAGCTGACGAAGAGACCTACAACTTTTATCTTTTGAGCTTTTTCGAATTCGAAGCGAATCATGATCGAAATTTCAATTCTTCTCGAACCATGCATTCTAAATCTCGTTGTTGCTTCCTCGCTTCGTATTTTCACGTGTTTCTTCCGCTTTGTGCACTTCTTCGCCTTGCGCGTTCCTTTGCTTTCTTTTGGCATCGAATGATCATCTTTGACTTAGAAAATCCTCTCTGATTTGGATAATAATGTTTATCATCTTCTCTTCGTCTCAAGCTGCGTGTGGGAACCCATAGATAATTTTTGACGCCTACAGATACCCCCTCAAAAGTGTTGCAGTCTCATTCTTTTATAGAAGAGGCTATAATACTTTGGATATGATGGGCTCAGCTTTCAATTCTTTGATTTCTTCAGCTTTCATCTTATTCAATATTTTTGTCGAATAGTCTGAAATTTTTTCGGTGCTGCGTTTATTGTCCGACCGTTGTCGAAATCTTGAACTGAATAGTATGTTGATTTCTGAACTAGTATGCGTCGTTGAATCGACGTTGAACTGATTATCTTCGTCGGGAATTCGTATCTGAATCACGATTGAACTCCCGAGGATTATCCTTTGACCTAGAATTTTTCCGAACCTTATTTCGGCGAATCTATCGCTGCGTTGATCGGCATTGACCTTTCATTGTAGCGCGTTGTCCGACGTTAACATAGTTTATACTCGTACGTTTACTGGAGTCTACACAGTTTAAACTCGACCGGCGTTGTAACGCGTGGCAGGCCCAAGTGTAGAGGTTGCAGGACCAACCGTTGATGCTGTTTCATCTGCAGGTACGGATCTTACCTTTACGTCCCGCTAGTTATTTGCATTGTTTTAAATATCCCCGACATGGCTCGATATATCCCCCGATATATCCTTTTACAGGGCTTGTCGCAACCGATATGGTCTTTAAATATTTTTTACCCTTTTTTTGCTATTTTGAGTGATAAATCTCCGATATAGCCGATATATTAGTCGATATGTGGACCAATATATCTTTTTATATAGCTTGTTGCAAAATAATATACCGTGTTTAGAATTTTCGGACGAGATATCAAGATTTTCCCATTATATCAAATGACATGTTGCCCTAAAAAAAGCAGATCGAATGTTGCAACGTTGCTTTACACTTTTGTTTGTTTTAGAATGTTGATTAGTGATCCTAAACATATATTATTCATATTTTGTATGCTTAAATTTTATTACATATGTCGAGATTATATTTTAATGCATTATACTATGTATGCAAACATTCATTATGGCATTCCGATATTTACCACATTACTATGTATGCAAACATTCATTATGGCATTCCGATATTTACCACATATCCCCGATATTTCCCCAATATCTGCAATCCGATATGAATTTTGGTCATCCGATATTTTTTTCCGATATCTGATATTTAAAACCTTGGTTATTTGCTTAACTATAGGGGAGTTTTGATTGTAGGACCAGCTACTGGAGTTGATACGGCTACCATTACGAATGTTTTAAAGGTTCCTCATGGAGACTTCAGCTAGAATTGATGTTGTCTCAGGTGCTTAAATCACGAGACCAACTGATGAAGTTGGTGCGTCAATGACTATCGTACTTATAGAATTTTTGGCAAACCCTCAGTCATCAACGGATTTGATAGCTTCTACCGACTACCATTTGAGTTGGGCTAACATGCGGATTGTCTAAGTCCGTTCTGTATGTAACGTTATGC